GTTCGTTCCACTGTTGAGTTGGTTCCACTGTCATTGTTGAGTTGGTTCCACTGTCATTGTTGAGGTGTTTCCACTGTTGAGTTCGTTCCACTGTTGAGTTCGTTCCACTATTGAGTTGGTTCCACTGTCATTGTTGAGTTGGTTCCACTGTCATTGTTGAGTTGGTTCCACTGTCATTGTTGAGGTGTTTCCACTGTCATTGTTGAGTTGGTTCCACTGTCATTGTTGAGTTGGTTCCACTGTCATTGTTGAGTTGGTTCCACTGTCATTGTTGAGTTGGTTCCACTGTCATTGTTGAGTTGGTTCCACTGTCATTGTTGAGGTGTTTCCACTGTTGAGTTGGTTCCACTGTTGAGTTCGTTCCACTGTTGAGTTGGTTCCACTGTTGAGTTCGTTCCACTGTTGAGTTGGTTCCACTGTTGAGTTCGTTAACTGTTGAGTTGGTTCCACTGTTGAGTTCGTTCCACTGTTGAGTTCGTTCCACTGTTGAGTTCGTTCCACTGTTGAGTTCGTTCCACTGTTGAGTTGGTTCCACTGTTGAGTTCGTTCCACTGTTGAGTTGGTTCCACTGTCATTGTTGAGGTGTTTCCACTGTTGAGTTCGTTCCACTGTTGAGTTCGTTCCACTGTCATTGTTGAGTTGGTTCCACTGTCATTGTTGAGGTGTTTCCACTGTTGAGTTCGTTCCACTGTTGAGTTCGTTCCACTGTTGAGTTGGTTCCACTGTCATTGTTGAGTTGGTTCCACTGTTGAGTTCGTTCCACTGTTGAGTTCGTTCCAGTGTCATTGTTGAGTTGGTTCCACTGTTGAGTTGGTTCCACTGTTGAGTTCGTTCCACTGTCATTGTTGAGTTGGTTCCACTGTTGAGTTCGTTCCACTGTTGAATTCGTTCCACTGTTGAGTTCGTTCCACTGTCATTGTTGAGTTGGTTCCACTGTTGAGTTCGTTCCACTGTCATTGTTGAGTTGGTTCCACTGTTGAGTTCGTTCCACTGTTGAGTTGGTTCCACTGCCATTGTTGAGTTGGTTCCACTGTTGAGTTGGTTCCACTGTCATTGTTGAGTTGGTTCCACTGTTGAGTTGGTTCCACTGTCATTGTTGAATTGGTTCCACTGTTGAGTTGGTTCTACTGTCATTGTTGAGTTGGTTCCACTGTTGAGTTGGTTTCACTGTTGAGTTGGTTCCACTGTTGAGTTGGTTCCACTGTCATTGTTGAGTTGGTTCCACTGTCACTGTTTTGTTGGTTACGGTACAGTTGGTTCCACTGTTGAGTTGGTTCCACTGTTGAGTTGGTTCCACTGTCATTGTTGAGTTGGTTCCACTGTTGAGTTGGTTCCACTGTCACTGTTTTGTTGGTTACGGTACAGTTGGTTCCACTGTTGAGTTGGTTCCACTGTCACTGTTTTGTTGGTTACGGTACAGTTGTTTCTACTGTTAATTTAGAGTTAGCACCGCTATCACAGTATCACGCTATCACGGTAGAGGTGATACTACTATTTTGAAAGATTCGGTTCCTTTATTATTTTAGAGTTCAGCGCTAATATAATTTTACATTTCGCCTAGAGATAGTGCTCCACGTTTTGATAGACGTTTACTATATTGTAGACAACACACCTGGGTGTAGATATGATGTATAGTTACTTGTCGTACGATACCTAGGGCTCTGGAATTTTGAAAGTAAAAATTTTGAACTGCTTTCATCTGTAGATATATGGAGCATTTATAGTAAAAGGCAGTCGCCAACTAACCAATAGGATTAACATGGCCTGTACCATGTGTACTTGAGGCAAGTAAAAAACGGCACCCTACCTTGACACATATTCTCTACATAGCCTGGTATGACATGTCTCTCTCTATTTTATTAGTATTATTATTACTTATCCCTAGTACACGTGATACAGGCCATGATAATTATGTTGGATAGAAGTTGGCCACTTTTTTACTGTAAGTGCATAACATGTCTACACATGTGAAAAAGCAGTTTGACTTTGCACTTACAAATGTGCCCTGTTTGGTTACTTGCACTCGCTGTTGGGTTGGTTGGACTTTTAGAAGAATCGGGGGCCATTGAAACTTTTTTTTTAATTAGAAAAAAAGTGTCCAATGTGAGAATCGAACCCGGATTGTAGCGGTCGAAAACCAACGGTTTAGACCATCTATCCACCGACCCCCATAGCTGTTTATAGACAGTGTTGTTGTTGTTTCCTATCCCCTTGTGTAAAGCTTACATTAATTCCATGAGTTCATGTTCCTCGAGCTATTTCATGGAATGTAGGGGTGCAGCTTTCGTTGATCATGGTACCATGATCCAGGCACACTAAATGGTGCTTCTCGTATCTGGCAAAGTTTCAAATAAAAAAACAGACGATTTAAAGAAACGTCCAAATATTTACAGAAGCGGATGTTACATATTTAGAAGCATGGAGCAGGTGGGGTGGATGGCTAACTTGGGAACCACAGATTTGGAATTCAGCTAGCGTGCCAAATGTCGTCACCTATTGGTTCCATTCGAACGCTCCCCTAAATCACTAGTCCCACTTGATATCACATAGTTCCCTTTTCAATAAACATTGATAGTAAAAAGACATTTTAAAACTATTCCGCGTGTGTTTCTTTTCAACGAAAAATTAAAATGTATTTCAAGGAGAAATAACGATTATTACTAACCTTTAGGATGAGGTATGAAAGAGTGAATTGTAAAGATTAATGATAAACGAAAAAATAAAACATTGATAGATTGAAAAAATAATAATACATATATGACATTTTACTTGAATAAGATTCATAAATTAAGAAAAAGGCATCTCCTTATCATACAACTGAAAATTTCGCCTAAACACAAGATTATTTTTGTCGAATTCCTTAACACAGTCATCGAGCATGCTGGGTACAAGGATTCCATAATCCACAACGGACTGTCTGAACTCAAGGCGGCTTTAAGCTCCTGATGAAATCCAGACGTCCCTCCGTCTGTTGTATATATTTCTCCCTATTCTAAAAATGGCTGTAAACCTTCTCCCTACTGTTGACTAGACAATAAAAATCATTTTATTGACATCTTGTCAATACATGCAAAGTGCACAGTCTGTACTATTTTAAAAAAAGATAATATGCATTATATACACTATGTACAATGAATATGGTGCCTCTGCCAGCGCTGCAGAGTTTGGTGGAGAATCACCAGTGGGTCTCCAGAGACACCACGTATTTTGTGATCTACGAAGAATACGTAGATAACGTACTTCACCGCTGAGAAGATGGTGATGGCGTGGATGACTGTTGACTAGATGTCAATTAACTATTTTTAATTGTCAATTGTCACACTGTTTGTCTTTCAATAAACATTGATAGATGAAAAAAATAATACATATATGACATTGTACTGGGATAAGATTCATAAATTAAGAAAACGGCATATCCTTATCGTAAAACTGAAAGTTTCTGATGGCTTTCGCTATCTATCGGAATAAATATCAACTATTCTGGTTGAGTTTTGTTGTTGTTGTTTCTTATCCCCTTGTATAAAGATTACACGAATTCCATGAGTTCATGCTACTCGAACAGAATGGGATGTAGGGGTGCAGCTTTCGTTGATCATGGCACCATGATCCAGGCACACTTTGGTGAAAGTCCAGAATTGGCCAAATACCCATTCTTCTTTTTTTTTTCTTTGGCTTATCCATAGTACACGTGGTACAGGCGATGATAATCATGGTGGATAGAAGTAGGCGACTACTTTTAATGTAAGTATACCACATGTCTACACATGTGAAAAGCAGTTCGACTTTACACTTACAAATGTGTCAGAGCCCCATTTGGTTACTTGCACTCGCTGGTGGGGTTGGACTTTTGCAAGAATCGGGGCCCATCAATATCAACAATAAATATCAACTATTCTTTGATAGTTTTCTGTAATAAATAAACGAATAGTTGATATTTATTCCGATAGATGGCGTAAGCCATCAGTAACTTTCAGTTTTACGATAAGGAGATGTTCTTAATTGATAGATAAGCTTGTTTAGATGATAATTCTATCTCTTAATGGATTATTTTATTCCTGTTGGATCTAGCGCCGTGTTGGTCATTACCCACTCAACCTGGCATACTGCCATGAGCTGGTGTGGAATCCACATCTATCCTTGTTGTTCCATGATAGAAATAGAAAGATTCCGTTTCGCTTCAGACATTTTAGCCTTCAAGTATAAATGGCATTCATCATACTTTCACGATTGTCACCTCTTAATAAAATAGTACTGACAAAAGTTAACTTTTACGGGTTATAGTAAAACGACATTTAAAAATTATCCCGCATGTGTTTCTTTTCAACGAAAAATCAAAGTTTATTTTAAGTAGAAATAACAAATATTTCTAACCTTAGGGATAAGCTATGAAAGGATAAATTGTGAAGAGTAATGATAACCTAGTGGACATGGCATCTGCCCGGTAAGCGGAACACTGTGGGTTCGATTCCCATCCATGGACACTTTTATTTTTACGTTTATCATTACTCTTTACAATTCATCCATTCATACCTCATCCCTAAGGTTAGAAATATTTTTTATTTCTTCTTAAAATAAATTTTGATTTTTCGTTGAAAAGAAACACATGCGGGATAATTTTCAAATGTCGTTTTACAATCACAAGCCGCATTATATTATATTGTATTTTACGGGTTAACATACAAAGTAAAATTTCCTATGGCCTGAATTAAAGGTAACTTAACGCAAAGAAAACGCGTATACAGAGTAATAAAGCAAAATAAAAAATAAAGGATGTAAATAAAAACACTCGATTTGTTTTAACAAAACCAATACTTGTCTTTTTTTTTTGCAGCGTTGATAAGGTATGGACCGGGGTTACACAGGTATACGAGGAGATCACCAGACATGGACACAGAGAACACTTTAAACATCTCTACACGATCACCACTCTTCACATCCCGGAAATATCTTTATTTACGGGGTTGCTAACCAGAATTGATGATTTTTGATCCCCGAAAATTGTACCATGCCGGGAATCGAACACGGGTCTCCTGGGTGAGAGCCAGGTATCCTAGCTACTAGACTACGTGGGAGATAAAACTCTTCTCATTCAGTTTCAACCCTCTTTTATATAAATACATGGCCCTATTTGTCCAATGAGAAGGCGTGGGAGATCGGTTCATTTAACAAATAAACAACATTATTCTAAAAAAAAACTGAGATAAGATAAAACTTTTTACACAAATAAATTTACTGGCAATGCGTTTCTTTTAAATATCATCAAATATTATCTCTACAGACCTTACTGCAATGATATGAGTTATTGAATGAGAGGGTTCACTACTGATGAGCCAAGCCCTCTCATTCAATAACTCATATCATTGCAGTAAGGTCTGTAGAGATAATATTTGATGACATTTAAAAGAAACGCATTGCCAGTAAATTTATTTGTGTAAAATTTAAACGATAGATGGCAATTAAATTTAATTTAATAAGATAAAACTGCATATGTTTGTCAAATAATTTGACAGTTCAAATGCCACGCCTCAAATATATTATTAATGGTATTTAGAGAAGCCTTCGTGAAAGCACTTCATCAACTTGATACGTATATACACTCATGAACAAAAGGAAGTTGTACCTTTTGGCATGTATATCGGGATTGAGACAATAACTCTGAAAGATATTACAGTGACCTTTATTGAAGACACACGAGATAACATACACTCATGGACAAGACTTGAGGAAGTTGTATCTTTCAGCATGTATATCGGGATTCAGACAATAACTCTGAAAGATATTGCAGTAACCTTTATTGAAGACACACGAGATAACATACACTCATGAACAAATGGAAGTTGTATCTTTCAGCATGTATATTGGGATTCAGACAATAACTCTGAAAGATATTACAGTGATCTTTATTGAAGACACACGAGATAACATACACTCATGGACAAGACTTATGGAAGTTGTACCTTTCAGCATGTATATCAGGATTTAGACAATAACTCTGAAAGATATTACAGTGACCTTTATTGAAGACACACGAGATAACATACACTCATGGACAAATGGAAGTTGTATCTTTCAGCATGTATATCGGGATTCAGACAATAACTCTGAAAGATATTACAGTGATCTTTATTGAAGACACACGAGATAACATACACTCATGGACAAAACTTAAGGAAGTTGTACCTTTCAGCATGTATATCAGGATTCAGACAATAACTCTGAAAGATATTACAGTGACCTTTATTGAAGACACACGAGATAACATACACTCATGGACAAACCTTAAGGAAGTTGTACCTTTCAGCATGTATATCAGGATTCAGACAATAACTCTGAAAGATATTACAGTGACCTTTATTGAAGACACACGAGATAACCAAGTGTGAACAAATTTACCTCTTACTTCTTCAAAATAACAGACGTCAAACAATATCAAAGACTTTACACCTTCATATGTTTTTTCCATGAGTATAAATTGAAACACCTCGGTTTTAATTACTTTGCTTCTAATTGATATTAAAGACACCAGTAAACAGCTTGTTTGAAAATTAAGCTCTAGCTCCAGCAAAGTGGTTCGAGGATTTTCTTTTATCAAATCGGTGATTTTTTGCACATTTTCATCAGTCCTTTGAAATTTTTGGGCGTCCTTGACGAAGATCATCTTCAATGGAAATTCTGCCAGCTTTAAATCTAGAATGCCATTCAAAAACAATTGTTCTCTTTGGGGAATGCTTTATTAAGCATTTAAAAAGTTTCGGTTGCTGATATTTGAAGTTTCACACAAAATTCTATGCAAATCCTCTGCTTAAATTTTCGTTCCATCGTAAAATCGCCGCAGCGCTATGTGTAACCTTTAAATAAATTAGAATAACTTTGGGGCGCGTGCACGTACCGCCTCGATATTGGTACCACCGTGTAGCCAGATATTTTTTCTATAATAAACAGTCAAATTCATTTACATTTTTCATTTATTTATTTTTTTATGGACCCAGTCCGGGAACTTATGGGACATACCTTGTATGTCTACATGAAAACAACAAAAACAACAATTATTAACATACAAGTTCCTTTTCAAACACGAGCTCATCTATAGCTATTGTTACTCTGTGTAATATTTCAACATATATGCCTTTTTGATTTAAAAAAATGTTTAAATATTGTTTATTTTGATTTCTTTTTATTTAATTAAATCTAGATGTTCCAAGTGTTGGTATTGATTTATGTTCACAATAAACTTGTAATGTCTTCTTCTTCTTTCTTATCTCCACTCAATCATATTAGGGTATCAAGCTTGTAAAGCTTGATATTTGACAACCATCATGACTGGGTGAAGTAGTTTGCGTCTGCCTTTGTAATTAGGACTGGGAGCACTACTCAGTGGCAGGCCGACTTAGCTTCAAAAGAAATGGCCACCTCTGGCATGAGGAACAGACGCCATGTACAGTCACTCCTAACATGGAATACAGACTCATCCTGTATCCCTGGAACCCTAACAGAGTACTATCAGCCGGGCCAGCTGAGCCCAGGTTTTTTAGTTAGCTTGTTACTGCTCCCCCTCCTCCTTTTTCATCCGGGCTTGGGAGTGGCAAAGGCGAAGTTGCTTGTAATGTAAGCAAGAATATTCCAGAATGCAATCCTCTTGCTATTGTGGACTGAATTGACATGTGACTTTCTTCTATGATTATTCCTCTCCAGTTATTGAGCCAATATGCAAAGAAGTACAAGAGAATGAATCGCTAAGACATCATATTGAAGAAGAAATCTTAGTTTTCGGCAACAAGTTTCTTTAGTAAGAATAAAATAAAATAAAATAAAATCATCACCGAAAACTTTGATTACATCTTCAATATACAGAGTCTTATCAAAATTTAAAACTATTATAGACGCGTATGATACTTTTTAAAAATAAACAATTTTTACTGTTCTTACTGCAATGGAAAAATTAATGGGAGGGCCTGGATCATCAGTGGTGAAACCTCCCAGCGGTTTCGCCAGTTTAATCTACCATACCGCTGTTATATTGCATTTTTATAACTTCCTTTTATCGTGATACTGATGCTATTCTCTTTATATAGGTATTTTAGATGAACTATGGACATAAGCTTTAAAAAGAATCATACGCGTCTATAATAGTTTTGAATTTTAATAACAGATGGCGTGCTAATGCATCATACAAAGTCTTAGCAGAAATAAGATGAAAAATAGACACTTCGGCCAGTTAGAGTTTTTCGAAAAAATAAAAAACTCTAACTGGCTCAAGTGTCTATTTTTCACAGAAATATGAATGCCTGCCGGGCAACCTCTATCTTCAAGAGAAATAAGTGGCCGCAGCCTTGCAGAAAATTGACATGGACCCAGAGTAGCAGCTTTACACACCCAAGATAGAGGACATTGCGACTGCAGTGAAAGAGATGTATGGAGACATCTGAGGCTCTTCATTGGACACAATAACAACAACAGAAAATTGACATGGACCCAGAACAGCAGCTTTACACACCCAAGATAGTGGACATTGCTGCTGCTGTGATAGAGATCTATGGAGACATCTGAGGCTCTTCATTGAACACGACAACAACAACAGAAAATTGACATGGACCCAGAACAGCAGCTTTACACACCCAAGATAGAGGACATTGCGACTGCTGTGAAAGAGATGTATGGAGACATCTGAGGCTCTTCATTGAACACGACAACAACAACAGAAAATTGACATGGACCCAGAGTAGCAGCTTTACACACCCAAGATAGTAGACATTGCTGCTGCTGTGATGGAGATGTATGGAGACCTCTGAGGCTCTTCTTTGGACACGACAACAACAGAAAATTGACATGGACCCAGAGTAGCAGCTTTACACACCCAAGATAGTAGACATTGCTGCTGCTGTGATAGAGATGTATGGAGACCTCTGAGGCTCTTCTTTGGACACGACAACAACAGAAAATTGACATGGACCCAGAACAGCAGCTTTACACACCCAAGATAGAGGACATTGCTGTGATAGAGATGTATGGAGACATCTGAGGCTCTTCATTGGACACGACAACAACAACAGAAAATTGGCATGGACCCAGAACAGCAGCTTTACACACCCAAGATAGTGGACATTGCTGTGATAGAGATGTATGGAGACATCTGAGGCTCTTCATTGGACACGACAACAACAACAGAAAATTGCCATGGACCCAGAACAGCAGCTTTACACACCCAAGATAGTGGACATTGCTGTGATAGAGATGTATGGAGACCTCTGAGGCTCTTCTTTGGACACGACAACAACAGAAAATTGACATGGACCCAGAACAGCAGCTTTACACACCCAAGATAGAGGACATTGCTGTGATAGAGATGTATGGAGACATCTGAGGCTCTTCATTGGACACGACAACAACAACAGAAAATTGACATGGACCCAGAACAGCAGCTTTACACACCCAAGATAGTGGACATTGCTGTGATAGAGATGTATGGAGACATCTGAGGCTCTTCATTGGACACGACAACAACAACAGAAAATTGACATGGACCCAGAACAGCAGCTTTACACACCCAAGATAGTGGACATTGCTGTGATAGAGATGTATGGAGACATCTGAGGCTCTTCATTGGACACGACAACAACAACAGAAAATTGACATGGACCCAGAACAGCAGCTTTACACACCCAAGATAGTGGACATTGCTGTGATAGAGATGTATGGAGACCTCTAAGGCTTTTCATTGGACACGACAACAACAAAAGAAAATTGACATGGACCCAGAGCAGCAGCTTTACACACCCAAGATAGTGGACATTGCTGTGATAGAGATGTATGGAGACATCTGAGGCTCTTCATTGGACACGACAACAACAACAGAAAATTGCCATGGACCCAGAACAGCAGCTTTACACACCCAAGATAGTGGACATTGCTGTGATAGAGATGTATGGAGACAACTGAGGCTCTTCATTGGACACGACAACAACAACAGAAAATTGACATGGACCCAGAACAGCAGCTTTACACACCCAAGATAGTGGACATTGCTGTGATAGAGATGTATGGAGACATCTGAGGCTCTTCATTGGACACGACA